GTCGAATTTCACGAAATTCACCTATAACAATGATCGCGTTTACAGCATCATCTCGCGCGGAGGATGGGTGGGTGCGATTACGAGGATTCTCTCTTCACACACTCTCACGACGAACGATTAATCGAAATGTATAACATCGTTCTCCGAATGGCAGTGAGACCAAAATTCTGCCGATAACGAAGAAATGAAAAAGTATCATCGTACGACGGATTTCAAAAAAAAAATAAAATACCTCAGCGTTTTTCTTCTCGTGTATATGTGTGTGTGTACGTGTACAGGGCTTCGAATATAATCTTCTCATTATATCCGAGACACCTCTCGAGCATTCTCTCTTTCCTTACTCTCGTCGTTTTTCCCTCTTTTTTTCCCTATCTAAAAAAAAAACGCACATTTCGCGAGGAGTCTTAATCGATTCCCCTTGAATCGATCACTCTCGTCGGCATGCGCATCGTAAATGAAAGGGAAAAGAATATCGAATGAAAATCTTCCTTTCTTCACGCCTAACAAGGGCGCAATACCTCAAAATGGGCCGCTACGATCACGCAATGTTGACAAAGGATCATTAACGTTAATGCGATTATACGGTAAAGCTGCGCCAGCGAGCAGCGGTGCTCGTCGTGTCATCTCGGGTCGGATATTGTATTACTCATTATACATAAATAATAATTACATACATATATATATATATTAATATAAATGATATTTCGTATCTTTAATCCCTTCATTCTCAAGTAAGAGATATTAAAAACAACGTACGTTAATTCGATCGTTAATTTAAATGTGATAAAAATAACATACAATACGGTACAAATATATAATTCAACTTTTTGTAAAAACACTTTTTATCAAGAATCAAAGGATTAAGATATACGTACATTATAATCCTTTCTAATCGCGTCGGATTTCATTACTATAATTACGTCTGATCATTTGCTAACTACTAACACAGTACAGAAAAATATCAAACTTTCTTGATAATAAGACGGGCAACAAGAGCCAAATCGCGGATGACAATGCGTTATCCTAACGAAACTAAATAATTTTTTCGTTAGAATTAAATACCGGTGCACAAGGCACCAAATTTTTACTTGGACACGGCCAAGATTTTAAATATGAAATAAAATATGAGATTATTTCATATTTAAAATCTTGGCCGTGTCCAAGTAAAAATTTGGTGCCTTGTGCACCGGTATTTAATTCTAACGAAAAAATTATTTAGTTTCGTTAGGATAACGCATTGTCATCCGCGATTTGGCTCTTGTTGCCCGTCTTATACGTTAAATTTATATTTATATTACAGAGCCTTGTTAAAACTCTTATATTTCTTGATAATTATTAAAGTTTCGTTAATGATTATATAAGTGAGTGTCTCTGTAGCACAATATTACCAACTCGTTGTCATTATCGAAATTTTGTTTTGTTTTCAAATTTAAGGATTGGGACATTTGAGTCTTTTTTAAGCTTTATTTCAAAGTATAATTTTTAAATAATGACATAAATAAATATAATAAAACCGAATTTATAACTATATTATAAAATTATATAATATAATAAAACTATAAGTATATAATATATTATGTATTATGTAATATACTATTTATAATACATAATACATTTAGTATATTATATTATATAATCTAATATATATTAATATATATTATACTATATAATATAATAAAAGTTAAATATGGTTCTAAAAATGAATCCAAATGGTTAATTTTGGAATTTAAAAAAAAATTTTTTATATAATGACGGAAACGAAGGTTTTTATACTGCTAGAGACATCCACCCCTATCATAATCCACTAGCGGAATTTAATAATTATATTGTCTGTTATACTACATAATTAACCGATTGTCCAATATTTCATTAATAATTAATTAATATCATTATCAATTGCTATTGATTAATATTATTGAATTTATGTTACATTTTTTCATACATTAGCGTTAAATTTAAAGATAAGCAATTGTTAATAAATAATTATTAATCAAAACTGTCGGTAATCGATTTTAATGTTTTTAAAATGCCAACTTTAAAAAAATTCCCAATTTAATAAACTTATATATTTTTTTTTTTTCGATATACGTGACATAAAAAAGAGAGATAAAATTTTTACATCTCCTTTTTAATATATTTGTACATGAATAATACAGTGTCCCTATTTTAAATGTCACAATAAAATATCTGGAAAATTAAACAATGTTCGAAAAAAAAGCTTTGGACAAAAATTATAGTGTTTCGATAATTCTATCTTAATACTTTTTTATATACAGACCAACTAAAAAATCTTAAATAAAAAATCAGTCTATTAAAAAAAAAATAAAAATAGCCTTCATATCTCGAAAACAGCTTGGAAATAAAGTTGTGTTGACTCCTCGTGAATGTTTTCTTCACGAAACGAGTTTCTCGTTCTAAAATTTTTTTTCCGATATTATTTAATTTTTTAAATATATTTCGCTGAGCAAATTTAAAATAGGACTCTGTATACGATAATCATAAATGTACAGTTCTCTTTTCGTGCAAACGCATTCAATTCAAAACTTATTTGAAATTAATTTATAACGTACCAGCACACAAAACTTTATATTAATTTAGATTAATTACTCCAATATTTTCGCGCAGTTTCGTTACTTTTGTGCGACTAATGTGTTATCATTAAATTTGCAATAAATAATCAAGGTACAAATTTTTTTCGCCAAATTTGCGCGTTTTCTTCCCTCCCTGGTATTGCACTTCGAAACGAAACAAAAAAAGAAAGTCAATGAACCATGGCAATATATACAATGTTTATGAACTGTACATCCTATATATTGTACTTCAATCAACGCAATACGTATTTTTTATCGCTATGTACCATATACGATACAAAATGTTTCTCGCGTTCTGCACATAGCTCGTCAATATATATATATATGTGTGTGTGACGATTAATTTTTTTTCTATTATTTATTGTTTGGAATATTAAAAAAACATTAGCGGTGGATATGAGTAACGGCCCATTCGTCAAGTAAAGTCAGAATTTTAACTAAATCTTGGCGTACAATGAACAAACATCGCGCTCGACAATTTTTACTCGGAATACGGAGCTTTTCCCAAACGATATCACATCTTGAATTTTGAATGTGACTATAATGACATGAAAAATTCAATGTGTATCGAGCGAAAATAAAGCAATACCGTTGTACGATAATTTCATTAGACGTGCGTCGAAGATCGGTGTTTTGATTACTAATTATTAACTATTAATTTTACTAAAATTTCTCAAACAACGATATTACATTCTTTTCGGCCGAATAAAAGCAAACCTAATCGAATTACGCACACGTTTTTTTTTCCGATATCGATTTAAAAATATCCGATAGTTTTTTTGATTCGATATACAGAGAATAAATTGCACTCTCCAATGGAATAATCGGAAAAATTTCAAGTACCGCTTCTGAGTTTCGCTTTTACAATTGTAATTTTCCTTTTGCGTCTGCAAAAACAAAGGCGAGCGTTTTCGTCCCCCGAGGGGGCCTCGTCTGCAATATGTATGGACATTCGGATTCTAACGGCGTGTAATATAACGAAAACGCGTTGCCGAGTAAAATCCTCTCTCTTATAATACTTCGTTACTACTACAGCATCGTGTGAACGGTGTATTCCGTATAAGAGCTGTCATTTGCTCTTTTCGGCCGATTGAATTCACCGCCCAGCGACCCCCACTCGATTAGCAATTGACCGATAGCCGTAACTAAGGGTGCGTTCCGTATTCACTGCAAGTACTGGCACTATGACGTCATGCAAGTGTACTGTTACAGCGTTCCTTTTTAATTTTGTGCACTTGAAGCTACTGCAAATAGTTAAAACGGAACGCACTACAGTACGCTTTCAGCAGATTTACTAACCTTTTTCGCTAATAATCATCGAGTGAAAAATTGGTGAAAAAATAATACCATTATTGCATTAATTACATATAATTTAATCGAGAATATACATATGATTCGAGTGAGTCATCAAGTGAAAGCGATTGGAATGGAATTAATAAATGAAATGAGACGACAAATTAAAATACCTAGAATAAAATGTAAAAATTACGTTAAAATATTGTATCATATATTCAGATATGGAATTTAAAAGTTAGTTCCATCGTACACATGGAGGTAGCCATCTTGATTACTGCGAGTGCTTTACCTCGCCGTTTGCAGTAATCGCAACAGGAAAAACGTCAAAATTAATGACGTCAATACTCATGATAGTACTTTCGCAGTGCACTGCTATCTATATCGAACGCTATTGGTAGTACTGTCAGTACTTGCAGTGCATAACGGAACGCACCCTAAGACGCACGGCGCTCCGTCTCAGGGACGATGCATCTGTACGCGATGCCGTTCCGTCTTTACTTTAAATTTTATATTTTCTAAAATCGCGATTTTGTATATTTAATGTTTTAGATTATATTTATATTTATAATAATTGTGGCAATAGATTTCCACGTTAACAATAGTACCTCATGGGTGACGTGGAAATCTTGCCACAATTATTATAAATATAAATATAATCTAAAAATAAACATATATAAATATATAATAAATAATTAATAATAAAAATAATAATTACAAAATCGCGATTTTAAAATATTGAAAATATTTAGTTAAATTTAAAGTTAAAGAAAGGGTACGGAACAGCATCGCGTTACAGATGCATCGTCCTTGAGACGGAGCGCCGTGCGTCTTAGTTACGGCTATCGGTCAACGCGTTGCTAAGGCCTCGAGCGCGAGTGGGGGTCGCTGGGCGGTGAATCGGAAATCGGCCGAAAAGAGCAAAATGTGGACAGCTCTGCCGTATACAATAGTATTATGCAATGCGCGACGTCTGCCTGTGACGTATCGACTCGCATCGAAAGACATTGTAATATACACCGAAATAACAGAATACGGTAATAAACTTCTTATGTATATATATGTATATATATAATATATATATATATATATATATCATTATATGTATAAGCAATATTTACAAGGTTTTTCATGATATTCGACCCTTCGTTCGAGAATAGCGATTACAATAATAGTAACTAACTAATATTTAGCTAGATTTTGTTTTAATCAATTAGATAATTATATTATTATACATAGTATAAGTATAGGGATCCTCCTCCTTCGTCCTTTCTCTCCATTCCGGAGTTTTACCACACATGTAGGCGGAAAGTAGCAAGAATATAATAACGGACTACTTTCCGAAACGATTTCAATGAGAGTTATAGTTTGTAAGATTCGTAAGATACTATGTGTTTATCTTGCAAAATATGAGATCGATACAATTCGTTTCATATACAATAGTTCGCGTTTTATGGGAAGTAGTTAGTTCGAGAAGAAAATAAAAAGAAACAAATTTTTTCGGGAGATTATGTGGATCCTTCTTCGTTAAAGAAATTTCGAAAAAAGTAATACGCTTGATTTGGTTCGATCGAATTAGAAAAAATTGAATTATCCTTGTAATGCACTATAGAGCGCTTCACTAACTTTACGAAACTGTACGTTTGGATAAGTATTCACATACTATTTCCTTGATTTTTTATGTATTTAATTCTAGACGGAAAAAAACATGTACGCGATCTACAATTTCTCCCACCTACGAATTTTTCCGTTCACACATCTCGGTAGGCCTTCAGAGATTCGTTGTTACCAGAATAAGACATACATTTCTAGAAGATTTAAATAACAAGGACTACAAGAAAGAGAGAGAGAGAAAGAGAGAGAGACAAAGAGAAAGAGAGAGAGAAGAGTGAGATAGGAAGGAAAGGCAGTAATTGCTAGTTCTAATTCTAAACCAAGTTTAACCGTGAGAAAGGTACCTTCAAGTTCAAGATATGAACTCGTTCTCGCATGTCGCAGGACGAGGAGGCCTAAAATTTCCGGAGGAGTGTCGGTGTTATGTGTGTGTGTGTGTGAGATCCTCCTTTTTTTAATTATATAATTCAAATTATATAATTCAGAAGATAGTCTGTCGTAATGTGTGTGAAATTGATATTACACGCGCGTCGTGACGAAGGTTGGGAGGGAGGGAGAAAAGGAAGGGACCGGGGAATGGAGGAAAAGGAGGAATTATAGCTGTTAAGAGTGCGTTAGATCGATAGTGCGTGTCTCGTTGCCGAGAATCAAGCGTAATCTCTTCATGGGCGGCGGCGGCGGGTCGAGGTTCAGCTCGCGCGACTTCTTGTGCCGTCTCTCGCGATCCCTGCTCTTGTGCTTCTTCCGGCGTTTGCGCCTCTCCAGGCCCTCGACGCGCAACACCTCGTACTCGGGCTCGTAGCTGTCCTCACTCAAACCGCTCGTGCCGGACTCGAGGTTGTCCTCCAGAAGCGGACACGATCGCTTCATGCGCAGCGTCAGCTTAAGCTTGGGCTTTTCTGGCATGACGACGGGCCAGACTCGACATTCGCTCGGATTGCTCGTTTGCCATTGGCACTCGGATGATGGGATCGAGCTTGATTTTCGCGTGCTGCTGCTGCTGTTTTCGTAGACTGTTAATCTGAAAAAGAAATACTCTTTCGTTAATCTTTCGATTGACTTTGAAGGAAAAAACATGTACAAGATATTCAATTAATTAACGTTTTCTAAGGTATTTTTAGTCGCTTGAAAGTCATTTACGTTTATTTTCAATGGAATCGTTATATATTTTTTTAAATAAATCAATTCTTCGTAATTTTTGGCATAAAAAGTTATAAAGATAAGATGACCCAAAAATGAATAGTATATAAAATATCTTGTAAAACGAATAATATAACATGAAATAAATAGCATAAAACATCTCGTCAACAGTGGGACACCCTATATACGTAGTTCGGGAATTGGTTGACACGTTTGTTTCCAGAATACAAATAAAAACAAAATTGTTATACGACGAAGAAAACAGAATATTACTGTTTGTGTATCAATATAATTTACCTCTCCAAGCTCCTGTCGACATCACAGTTCTCTCCCGATTGAACACCGTTATTGGAATCCGCGGCGTGCTCGCTCCGGGCCGTCGAATCGATCGGAGGCCACGGTTCCTCCGGGATTAATACTGGCGGCTCGGCTTTACTATATTCATCGTTGCACTGCATCTCCGGCACAGGCGACGTGGATGAGGACGCGTGACGAGATTCATGCTTGCCGCGTCTTATTATAGATAGTATCCCAATGTCCTCCAGATTACTCTCCTTCTCGCTAAACTCGTAAATATCACCCTGGATGCCCGAATCGTCATCGGCCTCCCCGATTTCGGCCGTAGCCGATCTTTGCCGGTCCCTCCTCTGGCTCTTGGTCGATTTGTTCTTGCTCTTTCCGGTTTTACCGTGACTCTTTCCCTCTACTCCGTCATCCTGAGCATCCTCCGTCCATTCGAACTTGGATTTGGTGCTCGAGAGTCTCTTCTGCGACTTGCGAGACGATCTCGAGGACGCGTGTTCCAATGCGTGATCTTTCCGCCTGGACGTTGATCTTTTCACCGACAAAGGATCATGATTGTCCTGCAAATTTCTATGATCCGTTAGATCGTTATTATACTCTGTGCCAGTCTGTATGTTATTAAAGTCCGCCGCGTTATTTTCTTCCCTAATATGTACTCTAGAGTCTATCTCGATTGCGCGTAACGTCGTCACCTCGGATCTGACGTCAGTCTTAACGTTTGCGATATACGCATCACTTTTCATTACGACGCTCGCCTCTTCCTCTTCCTCCTCCTCCTCGTCCTCTCCTGGCTCGGAACCGTACTGCTGTAACACTTTAAGACGTTTCCAATACTAGTTTTCATTTCTACAACTTCCTCAGAATTCAGTTCACAAAACTCAACACTGTCCGTGCGATTCCGATCCGCCGTCGCGTCGACGACAATCGGACTCTCGCAGTCTTCACTCTCCACATCTTTCTCCACATCGTACTTCTGCACCACGATTACCTTCGCCGAATTTATATCGCAACATTCGTCGTCCGATCGAGAGCTCGATTCATACAGAACATCGTTATGCCGGAAGTCGGCCTGTCGCAGAGCTTTCTTGTCTTCGATCGACGACGGCGAATCATCGTCCTCGCAGGACGAATCCTCGTTCACCGTTTTGCTCTCGTCCGTCGAGGAGAATCGTTTGCTACGAGACTTGGAAAGTTTGTCGAGGCAATTATCCGTGTTGCAAGGATGATTTTCACCTTCCTTATCCCGTACGGGCGACGAAGAACGACGATAGTCTCTCGAGCGACAATTCGTGTCGTCGGGAATTAATTCTGTGGTATGTAAGCGCTGTTGCACGTGGATCTGAGACGCGGAGTTTAATCGAATTGAATCACAGGCGTTTGTACTATAATGTCCCTTTTTGTAATTGGAAGAATTAATATTATTTACTGTGTCGGGCTCGACTTCCGCGGTGAGGTTCGGTATTCCCCGTTCGTCCTCCATCAAGTCGTCGCTGACATTAGACTCGTCCTCCATCTTTGTCAGTCGTAACGGACAGGATCCTTCGGTCGAGGATTCCTCCGTCGCGGAACGCCGTCGTGAATCTTCCACGTAAAAATTGCGATCCATCTCCGTGACGAGATGCTTCTGTAATCGCGAATACAGACTCTCTTCGGGTACTCTATCCGAATCCTCTTTTCGATGACTGATGTTCGCCACTTCCGCATCTTTCACAACGGAACTGTCGAGACAGACCGATACAGGCTTTATACTAATCTTCCCCTTCTTTGATTCCGTTCTCTTGTGAAGCCTGCGAAATTGAAATTGCATGTATTATACGGTATAAAAATATTCCCAAAGATATATAAATTATCAAATACATATAAAGATCAATCGAATATTTAATCGTATCAAGGAAGAAGACGCTACCTAGACGTTCTGAGCGACTGAGAATTCTTGAGAGCACTCCCGTCATCGGCAGTACCGTCGAATTTGCACAGCTGTTTGTTACGAAGACTCCTCGTGACGGAAGTCGTGACCGCGGAAGGATGCGGTCGAGTCTGCAGCACGTTTTCGCCGTTGTTGATCGTTGGCTGCTGTTGATTGATATCGGAGAAACGACAACCCTGAGCGATAAGCAGCTCGGCATCGTACTTGGTGAGTCCTTTGCGTCGCAATTCCTTCATACTGAGAGACTGTGGCGCGACCGCCGCGTTTCCAACCAGAACTGCATTTCGCTCGGTAAGAGCGGTATCAGCTTGCTGTTTATTCCTGTTCAAAGGTTGCTGTCGATGCTTGGTTCGATTGATTCGATTATCCGTTTCTCTCAGACGATAACCTGCACAGTATCCGAACTAGATAAGATCCGACGACGATATCGCATTCCTCTTTGATAAATATTATTATCATTGAATTTTTACCGGATGACAGTTCCTCGCCCGGCTTCTGACTCGCGAAAGCGCCGGTCCCTCGCCTCTCGCAGGTCTCGCATTCGCAGTAACAATTACCATCGCCGAAAAAATCCTCTCCGTAGAAACACGTAATCTCCTCGCCCACTTCAATGTCACGCAACACCTTGACGCACGCTGTATCTCTTCCCGTAGCTACAAACTGTATAATATCGTGAAATTAATATTCTCGCGTTCACATATTATATATAGAGATATAAAATTCCTTTTTCAATTACATTTCGAATTTCGTGCAATATTGGCAGTTACGAACCTTGCAATTCGCTCTACAGTCATGGTTTATATAAGCAGCAGGCCCTAACCATAATTGGGCACAGTTCTTTCGACAACTAAACATCACAGAGAAGTCATTTTTTCCAGGATGTAGCAATGCAGCTTCCTCCTAAAAAGAATATATAATGTTGAATGAAAATAAAGGAAAATATCTATTGAATAAAGATGAAGAAGATTGAATAACATGAGAATGATGAGAAATTATCTGATTAAATATTTTTTATTCAAATATTATTCAAACCTTTTCACTAAGCTCCGCTATGCAACCGACGAGGCAGGAAATCTTCTCGTGCTTCATCCATTTTCGGGTGGCACATATCTTAGCACCCTTTTGTCCCTCTAGGCTGTATCTGTAGCACGGCTCTATCGCGAATCCAGAATCCTTGTCAAAAACTCGCAAATATCGTTTGATCTATAAAAGAAAATAACGAAGTTATGCACACAACAAGTTATGTATCGTTCGAAATAAAATAATATAAATTCCTGACAATGAGTTTAAAATTATCATCATATTTAACTTACGTGGTTCTCCAAATTGATTTGTTGCTGCTTAGATTTTGTATGAGGAAGTCGTGCACCCCAGTCTCCACCCATTAATTTTTTATACGTTTTCTCATAATTTTGACTTTGGATAAATTCACAGATAATTTTGCGGAGTTCATCTTTATTTGCCTTCAACGGTCTATATCTGTTGTGCAAAGATAAGGTGTTAAGTTAAATGAGATTAGGATAAAACTTGTGAATGTACATGTTAATTAAGGGAGAAAGAAAGAAGAAACGATTTCGATAATACCTGATATTCATTTTATGGGTGGTGAATCCTAGATAGGGATCTAGCACGAGAGATGTAGCCAAGTCGTCATTGTCAGAGAGCTCTTTTGGTGTCATTCCACATCCTCCACCGCCACTGTTTGGTTGCATCTTTGCACTAACCGTGCCACCTAACCTTCGCTCCTGCTTCCTTACTGCAGTTGCTGAGGTCTGGATCGACAGGCAATCCACCACCATTCTGCGACACTGACTTTCACTGGAATAGGAAACAAAATTATGTTCCTATGAAGAAGATTCATTTTTTTAATAGTTAGCTACACATAAATTCCTTTTCTTTCTCAAATGGATTCAAATTAATACATTCATAATGTACATTAGAGGTAATAACACATTCCTCTTACACATACCTCTAATGTATATTAGAGGTAATACCATATTCCTCTTACACATCCGCAAAACAATCAAATCTATCGAATAGATTTGACAGTGTATAACGCACAAGTCAGATCAATTGAGCATATTATATCGAAACCTGAACGAAAAGCTCGTAGTAGACTGTTGCAGGTAAACGCAACGAAAGAAATATCCAAAACGCTACACTATTGTAACCGAACACATTGTCCAAGCTTGAACCGACTATTTAATCCAAGAAGAAAACTCAAACAACCGAAAGAAATACAACTCCACATCGCTCTAAGAATATCTGTGTCTACTCCTTTAAAGTAACCTTCTCAGCTGTTAAAGTGTACGCAACAAAAGAAATATCCAAAACGCTACGCTATTGTAACCAAACACATTGTCCAAGCTTGAACCAACAATTTAATCCAAGAAGAAAACTCAAACAACCGAAAGAAATACAACTCCACATTGCTCTAAGAATATCTGTGTCTACTCCTTTAAAGTAACCTTCTCAGCTGTTACTGAAGTGCCCAACATGGCAAAGATGCCTCACAAAATCCCCAAGCGCACATGTCTCTACTTTTCTCTTCCCGGGCGCACAATTTCCTACATTCACGCGCTTTCCCCGGGGTAAGGCCTCCAGGAGGCGATGTATCCTGGCGTCACCCCGAGGAACCGAACCAAGCCCAGTCGAAACGAGCCACTTGTCACAAGAGAGAGTGGGGAGAGACAGACGAACTAAAGAAAGACAGAGACAGAAAGAGAGAAAGAGAAAGAGGTTGCGATCGCGCGTGATCTAGCTATTCATCCGGATTCGGAGCAACCCGTCGATCCTCCGGAACGATCCCGAAAACGGCGTCGCTTCGTCGAGCCGTCTCTCTCTCCCTCGGAAGTCAGCGCCACGGACGGGACGAACCACGTCGGGCGCCTCCGTATCGACCGGAACACGGAGACGGCCTATAGATGCGCGTCGACATAACGGTCTCTCCTCCTCCCTCTCTCTCTCTCTCTCTCTCTCTCTCTCTCTCTCTCTCTCTCTCTCTCTCTCTCTCTCTCTCTCTCGCTCTCTCTAGGGTGTCTCCGGGTGTCCTCGTCTCCTAGGAAAATCGCGCAGGGCAGGAACGCCGCCGTGACGAACTTGCGAACGGGTGTTTAATGGCGACCCCGAATAGGGATCGGGAGAGACTCCGCTGAGATGGAGGCTGGATCTGGTTCGAAGATCTCGGAGACGAGGACGAGTACTTACCGCGAGGATGCTCTCCCGAGAACGGACCTCTCGCATCTTGCGATCGCGGGAGCCCCTAGAAGCTAGAGCTTCGCAGCGACGTGCTTCTCGTGTCGCGGCATTAGAGACGCCGCGGCTACCATGGCAGGACGTGTTATTGCTAGCCGAGCGCGAGGACGCGACGACGCGACGACGTGACCCGCAGCGTACATCAACACTTTCCTTCTCCGCTTAGCTTCGGCGGAAACAGAGGCCCTGCGTTTGCGTTGCGTTGCGTACGCAACGTGCGTTCTACCTCCTCTCTCTTTTTCTGCTTCCTCTCCTTCGTGCCCTCTCTCGTGCGATTCGGCGACAATGAACCGAGTCGAAGACGACGGAGCGAAAGAGAAGAGAGAGAGAGAGAGAGAAAAAAAAATTTTATATATATATATATGTGTGTATCAATCGCGAGGCGAATTCATGTTTCGGAATGTTGCGGTGTAATGTGATTCCCGAACATATGTCTTTTTACGAGCTGGTGATTTTGTCGTCTTTTGTCTCTAGCACGACGACCTGGGGGTCGATTCTGTAACTTTTTCGAAAGTAAAAACGTGAAAAGTGAAAAATTTACGCCAATCACGCATTGATTTTTAAATGAAATCGATGTGTGATTGGAAGAAAATTTTTACTTCATAAAATATTATCCAGGCGTCGATTGTGTAATTTTTTCTAAAGTGAAAATGTGAAAATTTTCTTTGAAAATCAATGCGTGATTGGCGAAAATTTTTCACGTTTCCATTTTAGAAAAAAAATATACGATCGATCCCCTGAACGCTCGATTACGATATATGTATGATGGGAGGACGATGACACAGATTAATAGACAGATCGCCAAAGGTCTGGATGAAGGAGAGACCAGCATTTCTCACTGATTTCAGCGCCATATCGTAGTAGTGGTCAATGCAGTAACTATTAATACGTTCCCAAGATAAGAGCGTCTCATGCTCATGAACTCGTCCGGCGGCATGTACGAATTTATCTTTTCGTAGCGTTCGCGTATTTCGGAAAGGACAGAATTTTATGATGTTATAAATAAATAAAATATTAACCTGACCTATTATAATTATTTTTTAATAAATGTTTCATTATTATTATCATCTAAGTCTAAGTCGTTTAATTAATTTTTAGTTTTTAATAATTAATTTAATTTATTCTAATCATTTTAATATGTGAAAAATACTAATACGTATACGTTTTATAATGAATTAATATATTTCGAGAGTCGAATTATATATTTTTAATAATATAAAAGTGTTCAAAAATTATATTTGACTTTTAATTTTAATTATTTTAGCAAAGAGTTCCGAAATCTCTTACACACATAATAGGGATTTTGTTCATCCATATAATTCGCAATTAAGTATATATGTTAATTATTAATTTTAATAAAATACAAAATTAAAATTAAAGGTCAAATATAATTTTTGAACATAAATATATTTAATTCGTTATAAAACGTATACCCGTGATAGTATTTTTCTCGTACAAAAATAACTAGAACAAATTAAATTACTCATAAAAAAATAAAAAAATAATTAAATAATTTATATTATATATGATAATAATAAAACATTTTATAAAAAAAACAGATTCAATAAATATAAGTATATATATAACATGTACTTATATTTATTGAATCTGTTTTTTAATAAAATGTTTTATAAGCTTAGAAAACTTGACTTTGACGTAACTAGCAAATTTTATTTAATTATTTCACGACGGTTTGACGTAATAAAATGTTTTATTATTATTATATAAAATATAAGTTTAAATTCTTTAATTAATTTTTAATCTTTTATGATTAATTTAATTTACTCTAATTATTTTTGTACGAGAAAAATACTATCATGGGTATACGTTTTATAATTAATTTAATATATTTGTGTTTAAAAATTATATTTGACCTTTAATTTTAATTTTTATTTTATTAAAATTAATAATTAACATATATACTTAATTGCGAATTATATGGATGAAAAAAATCCCCATTATGTGTGTAAGAGATTTCGGAACTCTTTGCTATAAAATAATTAAAATTAAAAGTCAAATATAATTTTTGAACACTTTTATATTATTAAGAATATATAATTCGGTTCCCGAAATATATTAATTCATTATAAAACGTATACGTGATATTATTTTTCTCATATAAAAATGACTAGAATAAATTAAATTAATTATTAAAAAACTAAAAAGTAATTAAACGACTTAGACTTAGATGATAATAATAATGAAACATTTTATTAAAAAAAGATTCAATAACTAGTAGGTCAGGTTATAATTTTTTATTTATTTATTTATAACATTATGAGCTATTAAGCTCATCATCTCGTTCGCTCTCTGTCTTGCTTTCATTCGGCAAGTCACAAACGATATATGATACTCGTATGTTCCTACTTCAACTCTCGAGAATCTGAAACAAACGAAACTCGTGTCCAATATACAGGGTGTCCGGTAACTAACAGACCAATGATTACAAATGGATTCTTTGGTCAATTTGGGAACGATTTTTCCTCAGCGAAAATGTCGAAAAAGGTCATCATTTTTTACAACTTTCCAATCTTTGTCATTATGTATCTTTATAACTAAGCCTTAAATTAAAATTTTATTATAGTAAACTCTACCTGAAATTAACTGAAGAATGTAATTATGTTAGACTTTTAACTCCAAAACGTTTAGTTTTCAAAAAACCTATTTTTTTCAATCGCTTATAACTCGAAAATTATTGACTTCTCAACATTTTTGCTAAGGAAAAATCGTCTCCAAATTGGCCAGAGAATCCGCCCTTAATCATTGGTCCGTTAGTTACCGGACACCCTGTATATATTATATAAAAGTGTATAGCACGTCAGAAGCTTGTGAGCTTACAGCGATAAGTAAAAACAATTGCGTATCTATTTCATTGCGTTTATCTGTTTAAACGCGCGCTTTAATTTTTCCAACGTTTTTGCCTGTTTATATTTTAAAGGTCCTCTCTTCTAAAAATCTTGTTTTAAAGATCCTCTCCGCGAGCAAAATTCGAAAACATAAATTATTTAATATTTTTACTTTATTATTTGTAAATCCTCGGTAATTTCAAAATTTTTCTATTTGAAAATTATTAATTTTCTATTGCCAATTAATTTTATCACAGACTTTACTCTTACTCCCATTGCACTTTCGTTTGCGGTTTTCAGTATACGATTTTTTATCGTAGTTACTGAAAATTATTATTGTGAATTATACTTGTGCAGTGATTTGAAGAATTTACAATTTCGTTGAAATTGTTGATTTTTCAAAAAAATTACGAGATTCGCGGAAATTGCGTGCTTTCTTGGCATTTTCCGTTCGCGGCAGGCGGTTTATTTTTGATTGTTGCAAGTGTTTTTTTTTTTTTTATTAAAATAGATAATAATAATGTGAAATAAATCACGATATTTGACAGATGTGCATATATATAGAAATTGTAATAATAATAATATTATATCATAAAATTGTAAATTGTTTCAATTTTTTATAGACTGCGATAAAAGATTTTACATTTGGATAAGAAACTGCGGTAAGTAAAAATATAAAATTCTTGAAAACGTACCAAAAATATTTGATAACGTAAAAAGGTGAACTTTGAAAAATAAGGAACTTAAAAATTGCACTAATAAATGGGCTATATGTGAGCCGTGCGCGGATGTAAGGTGTGTTATATCGAAATTTAATTAATAGAATTGAGAATTAATCCCAATTTTAAGTCTTACAAATGTCCAAGCTAATTTTTTGTACCTCGTGTACATTTTTGAAAGTTATATCGAAAAATTAATTTTAATATGCGTCTTACATCTCACATTTCGCATACGGCTCACATATAGCCTATATTTATCTCTTATACTTTATTTCAACCCTTATAGAAATTTATTACTAGTAACGCCAATTTATCACTTATTTCGAGTAATTAATCACTTTTATTTCGAATACTTAAATTACTGTATATTATAGTATTTTAAATACTCGAAATAAGTGATTAATTGGCGTAGTGATAAATTTCTACAAGAGAATAAGGAGCCTTTAAATTCTTAATGTAAAAAATTTCAAGTAATTTTCTTTAATAAAATTTAATTAAAAATTTAATTAAAAAATTTTGAACACTGTGTTAAATCACATTTAAAATCGTGATTATTTCAATAAAAAAACATTTTATGTGTAAAAAATATATTTTTTATAATATGTGATATAATAAAAGGCCAACTTAACGAGCTTATATGCTATTAATTGAAAAATTTTATTTATTAATTTACGTCATACTATACAAAGTTACGATAAACGTTTCGACTGTACGACAGTCTTTCTATATCCTAATAATATGTTAAAAAATTAATTTAGTCATTTCGACATCATAAATAAATACAACAATTATAAGATTATATGACGAACGCAGTACAAATTCATGTTTGTTGGCATGAGTTAGAGCGTCAGATGCTGTTATATTATGTATATAACGACACTGTGAACAAATTAATATATCCGCTCAAATATTACCTTTAGATTTTTAATAAATAGTATTAACTTACTTTTTTGTCAACGAACATAACACTTTTTTAAAAAATTATTTCTTTTTACTTAACATAATCACAATGTGTATTTTTTTAAAAAACAAATCGATGTCTGTATCTTACAATGTCGGCGCGCTGTATATATACCCAATTTTAAAGATGATGTAGACAATTTTTTTAGAATATCATAATAACTCCGGTTTCAGTGTTGCCAACGCCGAGAAACCAATTCTCGGGTTTTATGTAGTGGTGTATGTCTGTACACGTACATACACCACTGCATCGCTCACGCGGACGCACGTAAGAGAGACAAGGACCGATAATCACGTGTTCTCCTTGTTCCTCTACCGTGCCGGTATACGCGAGATGCCGCCTAAAAATGCTTTCTGGCCTTCCGTAGCAGAAAGCAGTAACGTAGCAAGACTAATAAGCACCCATTTTTGTAAATTTTATATATGCTTATGCACATATGTGGATATATTATTTATATATATAATATATATATATATATAAAATATACTAATTTACTCTCAATTATATATGCTACTGTTATTATTTATCATTAGACAATTATAAAACAGAGGTTATAGATTTGGTCTGACTACACTGGCCTCAAATTAAAGTTGTATATATATTTATTTTAACGTTTCGACCATACGGGATGTGGTCCTTTTCAAAAATACAGATTGGAATATCAGAGAGTTACAGCATTTCGTCTTTAAGATGTAAGCGCAAATTATGATTCGGAGAGATTTAACTTGTCAAATAATAAAATATAAAATAAATTATAAAATATATATACATATATAA